CCTCTTGACCAGCTGTCGATTGGCTTTACTGGAACATTCATGCTGACGCTGCTTCCGAGGCAATCTCCTTCGATTCCGGTGAAAATGTGCTAAATTTTCGTCTGTCATATGACGAATATCATTAGAGCAAGGAATGCATCACCGTTTCAACAAAATTGAAGCTAACGAGTCAAGAAAACTCACCGACAAATCCCTAAAAAGTGGTATATAAACTCTGCATCTTGCCTCTTTAATCAAGTATAAAGTGAATTGGTTAGTGACGGTCATATGTCAACTCCGATGCCTGTGAGTGTGTCTGTCTCTCTGGCACATGCACAGAGACAGACACACTCACATGCATCGAATTTAGCATATGACCGTCACTAACCAATTCACTTTATACTTGATTAAAGAGGCAAGATGCAGAGTTTATCTACCAATTTTTAGGGATTTGTCGGTGAGTTTTCTTGACTCGTTAGCTTCAATTTGATTGTGACGATACTAACTTGTTCAGATGATGTTCGTCATGTGGCGGACGAAAGCTCGGCACCCCTTCATCGGAACCGAAGAAGATTGCCTCGGAAACAGCGTCAGCATGAATCTTCACGTAAAGCCAATCGACAGCTGGTCAATAGGAATCCGTCATCGTTTTCTGGTGGAACCGACCTTCGAATCTCTTCACCCAAAAATTTCACACGAAATGGAAGTAAGCTCAACAGGGCTGAGATCCAGCCCTGACGATTTCCGATACATTATATATGGAAACACAGCTCGTTTTTACGCAAACTCAAGGTGGATGTCTCGCAGACTGCGTCAACCTAAACGCATTAAACGAATGTAGCGCGATCCAAAGTCATCTCGTCATGAGATTCACTTAATCATCTCTTCATCAGGCAACTTAACCCAAAATGAAAGTCACCACAACCATGTGAGTTTAGTATTTTCATCGAAACCCAACTGCATTTAGCATATACCTGGCCCAGTGTTATGTGGAAGCTGGACGAAGTAGAATAAATGGTTGCATCAACGGTGGCCTTGTCCGCCCAGCAGACCCATACACGCACACGCACACACACACACACACACACACATCAACCAATCAAATTACCTTTCTTCAGAAGTCATATTCGGTGGCATTATGAGGAATCCTTCGTGGTGGATAGGCTGGCAGTGCAGTTTCAAGGCCATAATGCCAAGAAAGACATCATCAAATCTGAAGTATTGAGTGTAGTATTGGGCGACTGCAAATCGGCGCGCCAACGGCGTGGAGACAACGATGGAACCGGCGGTCAGGTAATCGGGCCACTGGTCCCAGGGCCAGTCGTAATGATTGACGTACCACTTTGAGAAGAGATTTCGACTTGGTCTAGTTTGGTTGAGCAGATAGCCTGTGAGGTGTAGGAAAAAAGAAAAGTTGTCTAGTACTAAATTGGATGCATTGGCAAAGCCGAGAATAGACGAGAATCGAGAATTAGACTCGATTCATCTACAAACACAACTAGGCTGAGCCTACATCCATTTCGAGGGAATGTTTGGTGAAGAGAGTCGAAGGTGGACATATACATATACAGCTTTATGGGATGAATTTGGTTGTGAAGATGATACCTTGATCGTCACATGACGGAGGAAAACTTAGCACATTTTCACCGGAATCGAAGGAGATTGCCTCGGAAACAGTGTCAGCATGAATGTTCCAGTAAAGCCAATCGACAGCTGGTCAAAAGGAATCCGCCATCGTCTTCTGGTGGAACTGACCTTCGAATCTTTCACGCAACACTTTCACTCGAAATGGAAGTAAGCTCAACAATTATGAAAACAAGAGATTCCTCGAAACCCAACTTTTATTCGCATGTAGAACGATTAGCCGAGGTCTTATTCGCACAATTCAACGGACAAGAATGATTGGTAAATATGTATAGAAAAATTGGGTTGCGAAGCATCCCTTAATAGATTGATGTTGGATCACCCTTCCACTCGCCTCTTCAAACGTAATGAAAGGTATTCCGACATGTTCCAGTAAATCCAATCGACAGCTGATCAAAAGGAATCCGTCGTCGTCTTCTTGTGGGATGGATTTTCAAATCTCTTCACCAAACCCTTTCACTCGAAATGGAAGTGAACCCAACAATTATAAAACGACGGGGTTTGAAATTATTCCATTTAGTGTATAGCTTCTTCCTTTGATGAGCATTGTGACCAATAGCCTCTACATGCACTTTCATGAAGTCCCATAAAATCAGCTCAAAAGGGCACATAACGACCACGTTTAAATAAGCAACTAAGCACTTGTGACAGTGAAGGTATATTTCGAAGATATAGGATAGATGAATAGCCCAGGTCAAAGGATTGATTTCTCTTGTCTCTTTGACGATTTGTGGTGTGGGGCCAAGTATGACAGGGCTCACTGACGAAGTCGACTACGATGCCAACGAAACGTCGAGGCATGTACTAAGTCTACGGTCCGACTATGGAATGTATCATGCATGTCATTGACTCCTGACAAGATGCATTCCTCTAGATCTTACTGCCAATATGACCAAGTTTTGAAAACCAAGTCAAACAACTACAATAAAGTGTTTACTTTTGGTTTGACCTCGTGTTTACAACAAGATGGGGGCAACAGGGAAACCTTGCCGAACGTACCTAGTCCCGCGCACTCTACCATTTTATTCAGGATTCCCAGCACAAGACCCTTGACTTAGTACATTTTCGGAAATAATAAATTCTTTAAAGGTTGTTTCACCTTGTTTTCACAACTTGGTCATGTTGGTAGGAAGACTTAGAGGAAGGCACCTAGTCAGGGGGTCCATTGTATGCATCATCATTTCGCCGGTATCGTCATTCTTAGAACCACACAACAACTCGTCAAAGAGACAAGTGAAGCCGATCCTTTGACCAAATGTGTGCTAAACAATTGTGGTATCTCCCCTTATTCCCTGGGTTATTCGCGTTTCCTGTATCATCCTATCATACCTTCATTTTTACAATAATACCCCCCTCTCCTTCATCCTTGTGCA